GAGTTGGGTGACGTGAAAATTTCCCGCCCAATGCTGCTTGCAGCTTTAATTTATGGTAGTACATGTCAAAGAAAAATAACATGTAAATGTGTGCTGATACACATTTTATAGTGTGGTTTTTCCCTCAGCCCATTACAGCTGAAACCAAACTCTAGTGCTGCTTGGCACCACTACAGCCTATACAATGTATATAGTCAGGCAGTCCATTGAAAACAAAGACATTTGCTTCATTAATACACCAACTCCTCCCCATAATATAACAACCAAAATTGGAGAAAAAAAAACCTTCAGTCTTTTGGCAAATTTAACCTTCCTTCCTTCTTCTATCTACAGCTATGTTCAGCAAAAAAGGCCTCAGCATTCCTACAGATCAAGCTCATACTGTTCACTTCGTTCTTTAGTTAATACATTCCAAAGGTGCACCAGTGTTAGCCTGCTCCTCTTGGGGTTTTGCTCTGCCACTTATCATCTGACTAGCTAAGCTCTGTTGATCAGCAGAGACTGACCAAAGACATGTGGCAGGCGATCCAGAACATCAGAGGCTACAAAAGCAGGAGCGCCCCCATCATGTGTAAGGCTACGCTACCAGATAACCCATTAAACACATTTTAAATTTCTCCATCTCCAAAGAATCAGCTGCTGACAGTACCCACAGCAGATGTGAGAAAATTCCTCCTGGCCCCGATAACATCACTGGCCATGTACTAAAAATATGCTAATCAGCTAGTGGATGTTAATACTTTTATACTTTACTTTTTTAGACTACTGAATTATTAGAAAGAAAAAAGGTTGGGAACCAAACAGGTATTACAGACAGAAGCTGTCCTCTTCCACATATCCTCTCTCACTTCCAACTAGCAGTAAGCTGGGCCTGGCACCTGGAACAGCCACAGCTTCAGATAAGCTCGTACACACACAGACCCCGTGAGAACACAAACAAACCCCTATACAAAGTAACAAACCCTGTCCGCTAAATAGCGTCTGTCAAACATCGTTTGAACCGGAGGCGTCCCACTCTGAAGGTGGAGCAAATTTTAAAGGAAGTTAAAATGTTAACAGTCACGTGAAATAGAGGCTGCGTCGTAAAGCGGGATTTCTGTTGAAATACAAAGTGCTGAGTGTGTGATACAGATTTAGCTAATTTAAGCAAAGGATGTATTCTGACCGGGTGGCGACTTTCTGTTCGCTTAATTTTACCTGAACTTGGTTGTCCTGAAAAAGCAGACACAAACTAACTAGTAAAGACACACATTGACATTAGCTAACTAGGCCACAAGCTGTAAAATCCGTACCAAAGTCTGCAATGAGGTGCTCCTTCCTACCGTCTTCAGCTCATCTCAGGTTTGCTGTGTCAGCAAGTGTCAGCAAATGTCAGAAGTTGGGCTAAAAGTCAAACGTCAGCTCATAGCGGCACCATGCTAACATAATGCTCCAAAAATAAATGATTATACCAAATGACAGCTAGCTTTTACTGACGGCGGTACGACCGCAGAGGGAGTAAAATGATTAATTGAAAGTTGATTCCCTCCTAATGAGAGGCAAGCTGTGTCCGTCTTGTTGTTATTAGTCTTCTTCTCTTTTCTGTCCTCTTCGCTTCTAGCGCCTCTTCTTCTTCTGTGGTCTATGAACATGAAGCTGCATTGCCGCCACCACCTGGCCTGAATTGCGTACTGAAAAATACCATTACTATAATAGTTAGTCTAATGTCATTGAACAAGCCATAATAGAATAGATTAGGAAAAAAAAATATTGGCATGATGAACAGTAACTAGTAGTGTAATAAATTACTAATAATTTTCATTACTCCCCCAAAAAATTATTAGTTACTTCCTTACTTTTGTTGTCACCCCCTATTGATCTGAAATCCAACAATCCAATCACATCCTTGGATTCATTTTTGTAATTGTAGAGGAAATTAGTTTGGAAGGTGGAAATGTTTACATTCAGCACCTGGAACTACCAAAATAAATCCAAGGATGTGATTGGACTGTTGGATTTCAGATCAGTTGAGGATGACAACTAAAGTAATATTGTAAGTAATTATTTTTTGGAGGAGTAACGGTAATATTATTACTCTAATATTATTACTAATAATGAGTTACAGTCAATCATTAATATGAGATATAAATGTTCTAGCTGATGCCGGCCTAGGAAAATTAAAACCACATACAGTGTTTTTCTTTTTACAAGATTTTGAATGTCGCTTTGAATGATGTTGCACAGATTTAACAATGTCCAATAGCGTTTCATCTTCTGACGGTAATTCACAAGTTACATATTTATCAATGAACTGAACTACTTCTTCGTCTGTGTTTTTATCTATTACTGGGGCATCTTCAATCCAAACCACGTTGCTGGAATTCCACCCTGTAAAAGTAGTCCTTAATTTTGCCAATTGGATGAGACGGAGACATCAGGACCTCATTCAGAAAACAATGCCAGCAAAAATCAAACATTCTTGCCGCAGTTACAGGATTGCGTCGCAACAAATCACACCTATCTGCCCACTCTAAATCTTTAGAGGTTTCTGTTTTACCTTGCTGTTTCAAAATACTAGAAAGAAGATTTTTCCACCGCATATCAACGGAGGAAAACGAACAAAACCACGTAGGGACGCCAAGTTGACGGACACAGGCCAACAGGTCACGCTGTGCTCCCTGCCAAAATGATGGGGTACCTCTAATAGGTCTAAGGAAACGATACCCATCATCAAATTCCAATAACTTCCTCAAAGAATCCTCATTAGTCAACAAATCATTTATTTTTTGGGAAGTACGACCCCCTTTCCCTTTCCGTAAGGCTATCGATACATTTGACACAACCTGTTGAATCTCAGACATGTACTGAGCAAAAAAATATATTCAACATTTTGTGCAAACCTACCATCAGCGTGTAAAATCCTATTGTTAAAATAACGCGACAATGTCAAACGATGCTCCCTAAGTTGATGATAAGTATTGCACCCCTGCGGAAACAACACAGGGAAGCATTTGGCTTCATTTGTGTTATGCGATAACAATCTCACAGGATTATTCTCTTTGGCTGGAGCCACATTCAAACATTATCAAAATACTGATCCAGCGCTTCGTGACCAACATCAACAGGCTTAGACATGTACCTGGAACATACAATGCTGCTGTCTATCATGCAACAGCTCATCTTCACCTACATCTATAGATGCTTCACCACTTTCTACCTTACTATTACTGCCTTTTTCTAAAACCTCATTATCTTATTCTCTACAAAGTTAATTTAGCCAGGCTTCATTAAACTCTACATTTTTATAATGAATATTTGAATGTTTTAAATATTGCAGCGCTTGCCTTATGTGAACTGCCACCCTCAACTACAGCTGCAGTTGCAACTGTGACATCAACATCTACATCTGTCAGCAATGTAGCACTGTCAATGTCAGGATCAACTAAACCTGCCTTCACAGACAAGCTGCTAATGGCATACCACTCTGCACCCAAAGACCTCTTAAGATCTCTGATATGAAACATCAGGTCAGGCAGGGATGTGTTGAAAACAGCTACAGATCTGCCAAAATTAGATGCCAACCCAGATGCATCACGAGTACCAGAATCAACTACCACAAAGTGGTGATGAATTGATATTCATTATGCTGAATAATCGCACTGACTGAACCTTGGAGGTTCTTTTGCAGTCAGGACGTAACGCTATCAATTGCGTGTAGCCGTCTGTTAGGCTCGCGATAAACATGTTATCCTGCTCCTGTTGTGTACATTGGCGAGGAACCCACGATATTGACTCGATATTTTGCTGCCAGCACAGGCCCCAGAAAGTTGGCCAGTTTACGTTGCTGAAGGAACAGGAAAGTGTTGAGATAAACTGTTGTAAATTGATTGAAACCAGGCGGTATGTTGTTTGGCAGCGAAAGTGGGAAGGTAGACGTTGCGGGCAGGTGGCTAGAGAGGATTTGGGTTGCTGTGCATGAAAACAGCTGCGTGAAGTGTAC